CCCAAGGGGGCCCGAGGATGTGGCAGATCCTCTGGCGCTGGAGGTACAGGTAGTCGTGAGCCACCTGATGTGGGTGGGTGCTGGGAACTACACTCAGCAGTATGTTCTCTTAAACATTGAGCCGTCTTTTCAGGTCCAAGCATTTTTTTTTAAACTCCCAGTACATCTGGCAGGTCTTCAGAAGGTTCTCACAGCGGGAGGAGATGCCCCACTTGCCAGCAAAGAGCGTGTTCTGCCGGGCCACAGTGACCGAGTCTTCTCCCAGGAACAACTGGAAAATGCACTGGTCCTTGTTGACCAGATGGGACCGCTGGCCCTGCTTGTCCCTTACTCATCTGGCTCATCTTTGAACTTTTTCATGATGGCCATTTTCAGCAGTTGCAATTAGACAGCAATGTCTATCAATCCCAGCTGTATCCATCTGGTTCATTTACCACACTCTGTACACCATGTTCCAGGAGCAGAAAGGCTCCAGATGTGAGGAAGGACCAAGCAGAACTTACAGCAGTATCAGCCTTTGGGAAAAGGGTGTTCCATGCCGAATCCGTTGCCTCTGCGATTGCAAAGGCAGGAAACATCCTGTGCAAGGCATGGGTTCTTAGACTCCTCTGCCCCCAAGACTTCAGAATGACCCATGGTAGGGCCTGCCCGTTCTCTGGAGAGGAAAACAGACAATGTGATCTCATAGCTCAAGACAAGATAATGACATTAAGGAGCATACTTGAGGCAAATAAGAGAAGGGGTAGTTCAGCTAGATGCCTTTTCTCTGGCATTCTTCCCTGGGGACCTCTCAAGTCCCTGGAGATTCCAATCTATGGCTGGAGACTGTCCATCCACAAATTATGTAATAGCTCTCCCAGAGGTCCAAAGGTCCCAGCATAGTTCAGGCTTTCTCAGAAGGAGGGACTATTTTACCAAAGATCAGGGCTAGTATTTTTTTACTGAACTCTCCATTTTGATCTGCTGCCAAGTGTTCTTAAGGTTCTTTTGAATTGGTTTTTATGATTGTTCCTTCCCACCCCACACCATTATTCTATCCCCAAGTACTTTCTGAGCAATGCAGTGTATAGCAGAGTACCACAGATGCAGATTTAAACATTTGGAAATATTGAGTTAAACACATGGAATTAACAAGCTTCTCTCTCTCTCTCTCTCTCTCTCTCTCTCTCTCTCTCTCACACACACACACACACACACACACACAGTGGGGTGTATACTTTAGAGATTGAAGTGAGAAAACAAGATCTACTTAAAAGCACAGCCATTGGGATAGATCAGTGGGTAAAGGCACTTGCTGGCACACCTGATGACGCGCCTCTCAGCACCCACTTCATAGAAAGAGACAACTGACTCTACACATGGGTGCTGTGGTATGAGTGTAACACATGCACGTGAGCATGCGCGCACACACACACACAATATAAATGTTCATTTTTAATCAATGCCATGGTCTGAAAATGGTATGAGCTGGCTGCTGTTCACACCACTGGGTTGTAAACCAAGTGCCATCTGCTCTGCTGCACTTGTAGACAGAGCAGCAGTTCCCAAAGTATGGGTCCTGGACCTCTAGGACCTGTACCATCTGACACTTGAAATACAGACTCCTGGGCTCTGCCTCTGACCCACCAGCTCTGTAGCTCTGGGTTGGAGCCAGCTTGTTTTAACAAGCCCTTCAGGTGGGTCTAAAACACATAACTCCTAAGCAGCACTGCCAAAAAGGACCCAAGGTGACAAGAGGCAGAAAACAGCGGAGTAGCCATTCCACGTGGCAGAGGGGAGCTTGTCCTGGGAAACAAAGCTACAGCTAAAATACCAAATACAGAACGAGTGGAACGAACAGCATTGGACCCTGGTCATGGAAGAAGGAACTCTAAAGGTGTGAAGAGGTGGTTAATAAGAAAAGGGGGTGGCAAGCCAGCATTATGAAAACCACAACTAGAGAAATAGTTAAAGGAAAATGTTCTCACCAACTGATAATCTTGGCTTTGGCTCTTAGAGTTTGCTTCAAGAAGAATCCCTGCACTTAACTATCATGGGCAAAGCCCTGAGTTTGACCCATAACACTAAAGAAGAGGAAAAAGAAGAAGAGGAGGAAGAGGGTTAGGAGTCCTCAGAGGTCCTGGTCATTTTTCTGTCACTATCATAGAACACCTGAGACTCACTGGTTTATAGAGGGTCAAAATTTATTTAGTTTGTCATTCTGTAACCTGAAAAGTTCTGGCAAGGGCTATCACCACTTATCCTAAACTATATAATGCATTTGTAATTATCTGTGGGATAATTGTATAATGTTAAGTGGAATTATGATCTAGTTATTGTTTTCATTTGGAAATTAAGCTTGATGTAAGGGAATGTGATTGTGGGTCCAGTTGACAAGATGTGGGCTTGTGATGGGTAATCTTCGTTATCAATTGATTATATCTGTAATCAACTAGAATCCAAGCGACTAAGCACACCCAGGAAGGATTTTCTTGATTGGATCATCTGAGCCACACCTGGTGGCAGTCCACACAAAACGACACGGAAGAAGGAAGCATTTGCTTTTTGTCTGTTTGCCCTCACTTTGACTGCCAAGTTTGTCTATTCTGTTCCTGGGGCATTCCTTTGCTTTGAACCCAGTTCTTCAGGATGCCAGTGTAGACTGAAGACCCGCAACTCTCCAGGACTTCCCTGGAACTCTCGCACTAGAATGGGATGCTGAGACATCCAGTCTTTGTGGGTGAACAACTACCTTTCTGTCAGGAGACAGCCACTGATGACTACATTATAATTACTGCTAACCCGTTCTCCATTCTAAAGCCTCTGGAGTGATCAGTCCTAAATGTCTCGTCTCTGTGTGTGCAATGACTGCGAAGAGGTGAAAGAATCCTAGAGGAGAATACTTCAAGGCTTAGATGTGACACAGCTTGTTGATAACAGTCCCCTGTCTGAAAAGAGCAGAGAAAGCAGTGGTCAAAAACAAACAAACAAACTGGCAGATTCACAGTCAAGCCATTTCAAATTAAAATCACTTGAACTTAAGAAAAAAGTGTTCTAAAAGGAAGTTGGGCAACCACTGTGCTAACAGAGTCCAGGGGAGAGAAAGAGGGAAGGAAGTACAAAATGGGGCTGGAACAATAATGGCCTGGTTCAGTTCCCAGCATCCATGGAGTGACTCACAACCATCTCTAACAACTCCCAAGTTTCAGGGGATCCAACATCCTCTTCTGACCTTCATGGGCATAATGCACACATGTATTACACACAAAAACATTCAGGTAAAACACTTAAACACAGAAACCTAAATAAATAAATCTAAAAAGAAAAACAGTACAAGAAATCAAACATATGGAGGTGGAGAAATGCCTCAGTGGTTAAGAACACTGGTTGCTTGTCTATAGAACCTAGGTTTGATTCCCAGCTTCCACACAGTGGTTAAAAACCATTGTAGCTCTAGTTCTAGGGGATCTGACAACCTTCTCTGGACTCCCTGTGCACCAAGGACACATGTGGTTCACATATATTCAGGCAAAACACCCATATACATAAAATAATTTTTGAGACAGGGTTTTGTACATAGTCCTGGCTGTCCTGGAGCTTGCTATGTGGACCAGGCTGGCCTTGAACTCAGAACTCCTTTTTCCTTCACCTCCCAAGTGCTGGGATTAAAAAGAAGTCAAATGCAAGTATGAAATTCCCAACTAGAAATGGCCAACATTTTGGACCCTCCAATTGTTTCTAGGACCAGATATCATCTTCTAAAACCTTCATTTAGACAACACAGAACCCCTACCACAGCCAGTTTTAGCAGGAGCTCTGCAGTGTGAGTCCAGTTGCAGCTACCATGAGAGTAGACCCATCTGGAACTGTCTATCTTTGGAACAGTTTATCGTGTTCCAGTTTCTTCTGAAAATGGACTAGCAATCAGAAATAATTAGAAATAAAACCAACTGAACTAAATTTCAGGAGGTCTGACTCCAGCTTGTTATTGAAGAAAAGCGTTTATCCACCACTCTTTTGTTTGTTTGTTTGTTTGTTTTAGACAAGAGTTCAGTGTGTAGCCTTAGCTGGCCTTGAACTCACTCTGTAGACTAGATTGGCCTCAAACTCACAGAGCTCTGCTTGCCTCTGTCTCCTAAATTCTGCCTCTGTACTAAACGTACTCATTATTCTTTTAACCTGTACCTGAGCACCTAGTATTTCCAGGTACTGTACTAGGGACCAGGAATACAATGTTGAGCAAAGTAGACTTAGCCTCCACCCTCACATAGCTCAAACTGCAGATGGTGAGATACGCACTAATTCTATAACATCAGCATCCTAAGTGCAAACTGCCAAGGAAGCTGTAGAGCGTAAAGAGAACGATCAAAGAACCTTAGGACACAGGTCACCAGCTAAGCAAATAAAGGCTTTTCTGGCAGGTAACATGGCAGTTGGCAAGAAAGGGTGGTGGGAGGTAGTCAGCTGCATGCGTGGTGCATTGTGAAGAAGGAGGGGCTATGGTGAGTGGCAAGGGGGGGGAATCATCAAAAGGGAAGGCATTTGAAGGGCAGATAGGGCAGGTGCTGACGAGCCTTATAGGCCTCTTCAGCATTTTGGGCTTTACTGCGAGAGTAGCCGGCTGCCTAGGAAGAGGAAAGTTGTTAAGGATGCACAGCTAACGATTAGGCTGGTTGCTTGCAGTGGGGCACAAGGACACCAATTAAGGGACTCTTCCTATTGATCAAAAACAAACATGTGACATCCCTCAAACAATCTTGATCGAGAACGGAGAAAGATGTGTCGGTGACTAGCGGGTATCTAGCTGCACTGAGCGGCTGGCATTTAAAGGAGACTCCTGGAAGACTTCTGGATGATAGGTGTTCTTTCTCATCACATCTGTGTGCTTGGGTCTTGCATCTATCCTATGGGCCCTGGGAGAAGCTCGACCCTAGCTACAAAGCTGTTTCTTGTGCTCCCATGAAGACCCCCACAAATACACCCAGTCTTCTCATCTCTCTCCCCTCTCGTGCACTTTCCAGGTACCACATGTCCAACCCCCATATCTGTTGAGCATGCAGACATCCGGGTCAAGAACTACAGTGTGAACTCCAGGGAGAGGTATGTCTGCAATTCTGGTTTCAAACGCAAAGCCGGCACATCCACGCTGACCGAGTGTGTGATTAACAAGAACACAAACACTGCCCACTGGACAACTCCTAACCTCAAGTGCATCAGTAAGTAGCTGACCCCACACTATTCCCCTGCCTCCTGCCAAGGCTGAACAGAGCATAAAGCTGAAGGATGGGAGCTGTGGGAGGCAAAAAAAAATCCGTGCTGGGGTCTGGGGCTAACTACGCCAGTGGGACACGAAGCAACCCCTCCTGGGATAGGAACGCATGGACAATGGGCTCTGTCACCCAATCTTGGTTCATATCCTAGTTCTGCCACTTAGCTATTTTGTGTCCTTGGGCAAATCCCTTAGCTTTTTGCTTGATGACCCAGAAAATGACCGTGATGTCAACTGTGGTTTGTAGAGATAAGTGGAACCTGATAAATGTTAACTCTCATGTCCATCAGTGTTTGTTCTGGCAGAGGATGAGCTATGGTTTAGGGTGTGTGCTCAAGCTGCCCAGAGAGCTTTATGGAGCTCTCACAAGGCAGAGGGCTTCAGGAAAACATACAGTGTTCTTGTTTTCCAGAACCTGAAAGTTGGGTAGAGCCACCAAACAGAAAATCCCTGTCTTACTCACCAGGACAGTTAATGCTCAAGAGTGAAGATGAGGGCTGTGAAAACCAACTTTTTAAAAAAACTCAGCCACAGTTGGATGAAAGCCAGCATTCTTGGAGTAGAAGCCACTTGGTGGTGCTTCCAGGAATACTAATCCCCATTCTGCTCCCTAAAAAATAAATAAATAAAAACTGATCCATAGTCTTCCAGGAGAGAACTGTTCAAACAGGCACACTGCATATCTAGGACATGGATAGCCCCAGCTAGTGCCAGTCATTCGGAACTTACATGGAAATGCCCAGCTCCATCTTCTGGGAACTCCCGGGAGGGTTGGTACCACATATATCATTCCATGCAAGAACTACTTGATGACTGACCTGTGGAAAATTCTAGAAAATCAGTTTACAGTCTGTGCATTTGGGTTGGGAGACTGATATTCACTTCCTGTACTTCTAGCCTTGTCCAAGGAAGCCAGAAATGGATGTGCACTTGTAGCATAATTAATAAAAAACCTAGAGATAGATATTGGGGTTCAACATGAAGGTCACTGGCTCTTTTCTCTAGCTCAGTCTGAAATGGCAATCCTGTCTCCAGGAATCCTCAGAATGAGATTGTGTGTGAGAGCTGCCTCCTCCCATCTTATATTCCTCTCTAGGGCTGGGATTCAAAGCGTGCACCACTGCCACCTGGTTTCTATGGCAAACTAGTGTGGTTATTGGGATTCAAGGTGTGTGTCACCACTGTCTGATCTGTAAGGCTGATCGGTGGGGCTGTTTTGTTTTTTCTGACCTTCAGGCAAGCTTTATTTATTAAAATACAAATGAAATGTCGCTACATGCACTGGTGTATTGATTATTTTTATTTGTAACTAGTTCTTAAACCGCCCCAGATTCTGCCCTCAAAATCATAAATGCCATGTGACTGTTCTCTCTCTAGGAGACCCCTCCCTGGCTCACCAGAGTCCAGTGTTACCTTCCACAGTAGTGACGCCAAAGGTGACCCCACAGCCAGAGAGCCCCTCCCCTCCCGAAAAAGGTAGGAATACTGGGAAAATATAACGAACTATCATGTAGGATCCATTTCCCTTTCATAGATACCATGACCCCCTGCTGATGATCGCTGCAAACCCAGGCAACAAAACTTTATGTTGACATCAAGATTCAGAACTTATAGTGGTTTAGGTTTTTCATAGTTATTTGATATCCAGAATTCACATGTACATGATTCATAGTGGCTTAGAATCTACCATTAACACATTAGACCATAGTTAGCTGGAAAAGTACATGATTCATAGTGGCTAACCATTAACATATTAAACCATAGTTAACTGGAGACGTTAGCTGTAGACACCTTTATCAAGAGTTTCTCTGTGTAGCCTTGGCTGTCCTGGAACTCAGAGAGCCGCCTGCCTCTGCCTCCCGAGTGCTGGGATTAAAGGCGGGCACCACCATCGCCTGGTTCACACTTGTTTCTGAACCTGTATCAACATTATTAAAGGACTTTCCCACGTGGCCCTGTGAAGCAGAAATATCAACTCATCATCTCTCAGGCCTATGGGGCAGCAGGCTAAGCCAGAATACACCCCTGTATGTGTAACAGGCTGCACTGGACCAGGGAAGCCTGGGCTCATAGAACCTGAATGTCTTATAATTGGCAATTAACATGCCTGGTCTTTGCTCCAGAGGTAGGTTCTGTCTATCTTCCAAAGACTTGTTATTATACAGGTCCTTGGCAAGACAGTCCAAAGAAAGAGGGAAGATGGGCCCTCCTTTAACAAAATGTAAAACAATGTGAGGGACTCATTGAAGACTTTTGCTTTGGCCGAGGTGGAGGTGGGGTGGGGGACATGGGGTGGGTTGAGCAGGTCTCACTTTGTAGCTCTGACTGTCCCAGAACTCACTATATAGACCCGGGTGGCCTCAAAATTACAGGGATATGCCTACTTCTGTCTTTTGAGTGCTAGGATTAAAGGTATGTGCCATTGCGCCCAGCTTCCCAGTCTTCATCATTAGCAATTTAATTTGGATGTTTGTTCTAGTTTCTTTTCTGTTGCTGGGTTAAAAATTCCTAACAAAAAGCAACTTAGGACCTTGAGATTTCAGTCCGGTGCTCCAATGTGGGTCTCTGTCTCTGTCTCCTTTCATCGCCTGATGAAGGTTAATATTCAGGAAGATGCCTATATGTTTGTCTTTGGGTTCACCTTCTTATTTAGCTTCTCTAGGATTGCGAATTATAGGCTCAATGTCCTTTATTTATGGCTAGAAACCAAATATGAGTGAGTACATCCCATGTTCCTCTTTTTGGGTCTGGCTTACCTCACTCAGGATAGTGTTTTCTATTTCCATCCATTTGTATGCAAAATTCAAGAAGTCCTTGTTTTTTACTGCTGAGTAGTACTCTAATATGTATATATTCCATACTTTCTTCATCCATTCTTTCATTGAAGGGCATCTAGGTTGTTTTCAGGTTCTGGCTATTACAAACAATGCTGCTATGAACATAGTTGAGCATATACTTTTGCTGTATGATAGGGCCTCTCTTGGGTATATTCCCAAGAGTGGTATTGCTGGGTCCAGGGGTAGGTTGATCCCAAATTTCCTGAGAAACAAGGACCAAATCAGGAGCAGAAGGAGAGAGAGCACGAGCAAGGAACTCAGGACCGCAAAGGGTGCACCCACACACTGAGACAATGGGGATGTTCTATCGGGAACCCACCAAGGCCAGCTGGCCTGGGTCTGAAAAAGCATGGGATAAAACCGGATTTGCTGAACATAGTGGACAATGAGGACTACTGAGAACTCAAGAACAATGGCAATGGGTTTTTGGATCCTACTGCACGTACTGACTTTGTGGGAGCCTAGGCAGTTTGGATGCTCACCTTACTAGACCTGGATGGAGGTGGGTGGTCCTTGGACTTCCCACAGGTCAGGGAACCCTGATTGCTCTTCGAGCTGATGGGGGAGGGGAACTTGGTCAGGGGAGGGGAAGGGAAATGGGAGGCGGTGGCGGGGAGGAGGCAGAAATCTTTAATAAATAAATAAATTTTAAAAAAAGCAACTTAGGGAACAAAGAGTTTCTTTTAGCTTACATTTCCAGGTTATGGCCATCACTGGGAAAGTCACGGTGGCAGGAGCTGGAAGCAGGCAGTCACATCACATCTGCAGTCAAGAGCAGAGAGACAGGAATACATGCGTGTTCACTGGCATGTGCTCTGTTCAACACCTCCACTCTTAAGACAATACATTCCTTTGGAAAGGAGCTGCCCACGGTGGGATGAGTCTTCCCACTTCAATTAATTTAATCAAGGCAACTCCTGACAGACATGCTCATAAGCCAACCCAGTGTAGACAATTCCTTATGGAGATTCCCTTTCCTCGTGTCAAGTTATAGCTAACCATCATAATACAGAAATATCGCATGAACATCACCCCTCTCTCCATCCCTGCCTTCCTTCTTTCTTCCTTCCTTTCTGGCGGAGTCTCACTATACATCCTCGGCTGACTTCAGACTCACAGGTACCCTACCTTAGCCTTCAGAAGACTCGGTTTATAGGCCTGTGCCGCTGAACCCAACTCAGTGTTTTGTACTTCACTTGAGTGTTATGCGAATCTAGTTTAATGTCCTCAGCATTTGTCTCATTGCTAAGAACATTTGAAACCTACGCTCCCCACATTTCTAGACTCTCATTTTCTAATAAGTTTTACTGTCACATCATCCAGCTTGTGGTTTCCCCTCGTTTCCTCCTTCCACTCCCAATTATGGCAATCTCTGTTTTCAATCATCCTGAATTGCTCAATTGGTCACAACTTCCAGTGTGCTGGGTCTCAGCCTTCCGATACACAAGGAACTTGCTGAAGAACTCCAGTTGGTCTGGGGATAGATACGAGAATCGACAGCTTTGGATACTTCCCGGATGGTTCTTAGGCATCTCAGGGTGGGGACTTCTCTTCTAAGGAGGAGAGAGAGGATTCTGAATTTCATGCCACTGTGTAGTGAATAGAGCTGGGGCTGTAACTCATTGGTAGAATGCTTGCCTAGCATGCATAAGGCTATAGGTTCAACTTCCAGTACTATTAGGGAAAAAACAATAAAATAAGATAAAGGAGTGTCCCTTCTGGTGAATTCTGTAAACAGAAGAAAGTGGTAGGTACTTGATCCATTTAAGATAGAAGTGTTTCCCAAGTTCCTTTGGTATGACTCACACAGTATTTACTCAAGAGACAAGAAAGATCAATTAGTCTCTCTCAGCCTTGTCTCTGTGTCCCAAATGCTTGGTCAGATGTTCCTCATTGAGACAAAAATGTGCAGGCACAGCCTTGGACACTAACTGGTCATGGGTGATGGGTGTGAATGCTCTGTAAGGCTGGTAGTTTGCAGAAGGAGGGATACATCTCAGTAATACCAGTGGACTGAAGGGTGCGGGCACATCTTTCATGGTGGATGGCTAAGAGAGCATCGGCCAGGGCACCACACCATGCCTCGGAGCACCAAGATGTCCAGCCTCCCAGCATGCTTTCCTCAGCCTGCATATCCCAGGTTTGCCACAGTGGAAGACTCATTTTCACCTGGAAGGGAACAGAGACTAGGGAACGGGTTGGCCACTTTAGAATTTAGGAGCATCTGTCTACCAATGATGAACAAGGAAGACAGGAACTAAAACACAGGCATCCTCCATGCTAGCAGGAACTAAATCAGAATCGGATGTAAGCTTCCTCTTATTTCAAAATGTCAGGACAAAGTGTGAAAGCAAGTCGGGGTACACACCTTTAATCCCAACACTCAGAGATGAGGCAGAGGCAGGGAGCTCTCTATGAGTTTGAGGTTAGCCTGGTCTACACAAGTTCCAGGCCAGCCAGGGATACATGCCAGACCCTCTCTCAAGAAAGAACAAAACTGAAAAGGAAAACTAGCATCACAGCTGTCTTTCACAAATACAACACCGTTGTGTTTTGGCATCAAGTCTTTGAGAATATAACACACTTTCTCCAGCAAGCAGGCCGATCTGCTCAATCTCTCGGGAATTTTGTTTTGTTTTGTTTTGAATGCTCATAACAACTATAGTCTTTAGAGTTATCAGGAGTCCCATAGAACAGTAGATAGCTATACCACCTACTTAGGAGTAGGCTGGCCAAGACAGGCTCCCTAAAGTGGGACCTTGGGTTCCAGACACTAGTCTGAATTTTTATGTCTCTGTCTTGGAATTTCCTGCAGAGCCAGATGCTGTATCTCCCAAATCATCTGATACCACATTGACCACCCAGACAGCTATTGTGCCAGGCTCCGGGCTGACACCATCCCAACCAGCTTCTGCAGGAACTACAGGGACAGGCAGTCATGAGTCCTCCCGAGCCCCATCTCTTGCAACAACAACGACCTTGGAGCCTACTGCTTCCCCTTCCCTTGGGATACCAGGTCAGCCCTAGCTTTGAACAAAGACAGGCCAGTTCTCCACATACTGCTTCGGAGATGTAGATTGGGATCTTGCAGGAGGGTTGTCTGCATTAGCTTTGGACCACTTGGGGCTCAAGTCAGAACTGACTGAGTGGCCCAGTCTACTGCTGCCCACTATCATGTTTGAATGGTGTGTGCAGTCCCCACTGTAAGGATAGCCAGGAAGGAAACCGCACTTCTCAGATAGGACAGGGCTTGCTGATGAGCACGTCAGAGAACGGAAAGAGCATTTGGTGTGGAGCTGTGGTCTGCGGGTAGAGAAGCCACTGACAATTGTTCCTGTTAGTGTTCAGACATCTGTACTGGCCTGCTCTTGGGGTCCTGACAGGATACGTCCACAGCCGCAGCCACTAAGAGCACCTCCGGTGCACATTCGCTATGTTCCCTTTTAAAAGGCAGGCCACGTCCCATCTCTTTCTCTCTCTCTTTCTTTTTCCTTCTTCCTCTCTCTTTCCTGCCACTCTTATCCCCAGGGACTGGTCTCTGCCCCCTCTGTTCCCCTCTTTGCCCCCTTTGTCCCCTTCTCTCGCCTCTTCTAATCAACCTCCATGTGAGCCCTGTTGTACAGCATGACTCTCCCTTCCCGCCATTTTCTTTTGTTTAATTACAACAGTTCCTCTCTGAGGCATAGCCAATGTTTAGGGGTAACCAAGCACCTCACCAAATTATCCTCTTCACTTTTGCTAAGACCAGTTTGGTTATGTCAGCTCCATGTCTCTTACGGTTTTAAGATGGTAGCTAATCTCTCCAGCTTGGCGAGAACCTAGTGCTCTTGGCACTCCAATCCTGACTCAGCTTTCCTCTCTCCTCTGCAGAGATTTCTCCAAACACCTCTAAAGTGACCAAAGGTGAGTATTTTCTTTTGTCTGATGTGTTTATAACCAGGGACTATAAAACAGGCACAGCGTGTTCATCAGTCTGGTCCAGGCCGCTCTGACACAGCCAGCTGCAGTATTCCTTAGGTCGCCATCAGAGAATTTGGTTTAACTTGGTAAACCCTATTTATGGAGTTTGTCATTGGACATGATTACTTGTCTTAAGATCGGCAGCTTCTAACTGTCACACTTGTGGTGTACAAAGCAGGGAATTAGCACACCACAAAAGAGCTTGATGGATCAGCTACTCACAGGTCAGCCCCATCAAGAGGCTCCACCTAGATCCAGAGCATGTTAGGAAAAGCAGGAGCCAGCAGCTGCCACTAAGAGAATGCCATTCTGCCGAGAGAGAGACAGAGACACAGAATAAGAGGGAGTGAGGAAGGGAGGGAGGGAGAGAGAGAGAATGAGAGAGAGGGAGGGAGGGAGGGAGAGAAAGAGGGAGGGAGGGAGGGAGGGAGGGAGGGAGGGAGGAGAGAATTCAGACTGCTCTGTCTAAATGTTTCTGTTGATGAAAGACCTGGAGCACTACAGTTAGAAGAAAAAGAAAGAGGTTATGCAATCAGCGCAGGAGGAAAACAGAAATGTGTTTGTGAAAAGGAGGAAGAGAGATCTTGGAGAAGAACGAATAGAGCAGGAGAGAAGGGAGGGCAGGGGTGCAGCTCTGACCATGAGCTCGCTTGTCAAGGCCAAGGCCCAGCTTGCTCTCCAGTACCATAAAAAAGGGTGTGGGGTGCAGAGAGTAGGAACCTTATACTTTAGTCTGACAAGCTCTAGAAGGAAAAGAAGGTCCTAGAGGGATGGTGCAGTGGTAAAGTGCTCTTGCAGAGGGCCAGAGTTCAGTTCCCATCACCCCAGATGGTTAGCTCACAACCACTTGTAACTCCAGCTCCAGGGGATACAACATCCTTTTCTGGCCTGTGGGCACCTGCATACTTATGTGTATGTACACACAAGTGTATGTACACACACACACACACAGAGACACACACTCTCTCTCTCAAACACACACACACAAATGTTTTTTAAAGGGATAAAATATTCTCTCTTTTCTTTCTCTTTTTTTTGGCTTTTTGTTTGTTTGTTTGTGTTTGTTTTGTTTTGTTTTGTTTTTGAAACAGAGTTTCTCCATGTAACAGCCCTGGCTATTCTGGAACTCACAGAGATCCACCAGCCTCTGCCTCCCAAGTGCAGAAATGAAAGGTGTGTGCCAACACTGCCCGGCTCTATTTTCTATTCATAAGTTTTCCTGCTGGAGAATGACTCACTGGCTTTTGATCCTGTTTATCTGCACTAAGTGACATCAGGGAATCAGATGTCACTTTAGATATATTAGCAGTTTATTGGTTACAGTGGTTTTGTAAATGATCAAATGAAGACAGGCCTGGTGGTAAAGGTCTGTATTTTCAGCTACTTGGAAAGCTGAGGCAGGAGGATTGCAAGATCAAGGTCTGCCTGGACAACTCAGTGAAATCCTATAGCAAAATTAAATGTATAAAGAGGACTGGGGATATAACAGTTCATTAGTAGAGTTCTTGCCCAATCCCCAGCTCTGCAAAAAGGAAAAAAGGAGATAGAGAGTAGATAGATAGGCAGATGGATAGATGAGTGCATAGATAGATAGATAGACAGATGAAAGCAAAACATTTAGGAAGGTTCTTTGAAGAATAATTTATTGAAAAACTCACTTAATGACAAGGGCATATAAACAAAAACATACTCATGATTTAAGAGAACAACATATAAGAATTAGGCAAGCTGTTTTTTCTCTATGACACATAGCACATTAATCTTTCCACATAGTTTTTAATTTTTTGCTTTTCAAATACTTAATGATTTGCACATGGTCTGAAAATCAAAAATTAAATAGCATGGAAGCATATGTCTGTAATCCCAGCACTCAGAAGGCTAAGGCAGGAGGATTACTTTCAGTTTAAGATCTGCCTGGGTTACATAGTGAGTATCAAGGCCATTGGGATACATAGCAACACCACACCTCAAGAAATTTTAAAAAAAAAATCAAAAGTCAGCAAGGAATAAACAGAATGAAAGTTTGCCTCTGACTTGCGCTCCTGGAGACAGAGAGCAATTTTCTTTGCCTCCTTCTGGTTGGCTGTGGAAACACAAGCACATGAATAGCTCAGAATAGCTATTTTGTGTCATTTCACTGACCGGCTGGCCTGATTTCCTTTCTGTTGCTGTGATAAAACACTAGAATCAAAACACCTTGGGGAGGAAAGGACTTATTGACTTAGACATCCAGGTCACAGTCCATCCCTGAGGGAAGTCCGGCGGAAACTCTAGCAGGAGCTTGAAGCAGAAGCCAAGTAGGAGTGCTGCGTGCTCATTCACTCTCTGGCTCTGCTCAGCCAGCTTTCTGATTTAGCCAGGATGACCTGGCCAGGGAATGGGGCTTTCCAAGTGGGATGGACACACTAAAACAGTTAACGATCAAAGAGATACCCCATAGACACGCACACCAGCCTACCTGATCTAGAGAATTTCTCAGTTGCGACTTCTCCTCTCAGATGACTCTAGGCTGGATCAAGTTGACAATGAGCGTTCCCCAAGGCACTGACATATCTTAGCAATCCTCCATATCCACACAAGAAAGCCACCTTACTTTCTAATGGCTACAGCATATTCTACCCCCATATAGACCTGAGCACAATTTACTTAGCCAATCTCAGCTTTGGACATACGATTATTTACTGTCTTAAGTTATATTACCAACAGTGACTACTTGGAAACTCTGGTGCAATCCTACTTAGTGGGTGACAATCTATTTGTAAAATTTTCTATATAGGGCTTCAAACAATTTAGGATCTAATACTCACTTTTCCAGTGCATGGCTTTGGTGACAAAGATAATTCTGTGCAAGGGATTGTGGGAAGCATAAAGGCTTTTAAATTTTAAAAACTGCTTTATGTACAAATAAGGTGTTCTTCCTTAAATATAGACATGAAGATACCTAATTATGACAGAAGTCAAATTGTTAGCAAAAGAAATGAAAAGGCGAGATTGAAAGATTGTATTGTCTGTTAATAAGTGTAAATTGAAATTATAAGCGGTCTAGTTTTGTAAAAGCGTTTGTGACAGTGTCTTTCGGAGTTTTGCACTTCCGTGCCATCAGTCCCAGCCACCCAAGATCTGCAAGGACCCCACCATCAGTTACATACTGTAGATGTTCGGTTGCTCCTCGGACACGGGGTGAGGCAATCAGCTGAGCACGTCTCTGTAAGGCAATATTAACAATGTTCAACCACAGTCATTGCTTGGTCAGTTAGCGGATGATCAATCTTCTGATATTTTGTTTTATTGTTTTTGTAGTTTTACGACAAGGATGAAACAAAGGGCATGCTAGACAAGTGCTCTTCACTGAGCTATATCCTCAGTCTATAATGTTTAAAATAAGTTATATGTTTGTGTTTGTGTTATGTATGTATGTACCTGCATAGATGTATGGAAGAGCACTTGGTGCATACAGGGACCTGCAGAGGTCAAAAGAGGGCATCAGATCCCCCCTGGAGTGGATTTTAAAAGATATGGGGGTTGGGAAGATGACTCAAAGGGTAAAGGCAATTGCCGTGCAAGCGTAGGACCTGAACTGCTATGCGGGGTCTATGAACGGGACCCAGATCCTCGCAAGAGCAGTATGTACTCCCACCCACTCAGAACCTCTCCAACCCCGGTTATCACTATTTTTAAAAGTTGTTCTTATTTGTTTATTTGTTTTTTGAGACAGAGTTTCTCTGACTAGTCTTGGCTGTCCTGGAGCTTACTCTGTAGACCAGGCTGGCCTCAAACTTACATAGATACACCTACCTCTGCCCACAAGTGCTGGGATTAAAGGCATGCACCACCACCACCGCCACATTAAAAGCTGTTCCTTTTCATTCAATAGAAAACAGCCAATAGCTGATGCTCAGTAAATACTGAACGAGTTAGTAAACGAGCACCGGAACTTAAAGACTTTAGCATTTTAATAGTAATAAAATATGGTTTCTATTTTCACTTTCTTGTTTATCAACTGGTTCACTTAACAGCCTTTCCTGCCAATAACTTATTCAGTTATCCCAGTATCTTCTCTCTGATCTTCAGCTAGGCTCCTACTGAAGACTCCTGAATTTATTTTTAAAAATCTTCGTGTGTGTGTGTGTGTGTGTGTGTGTGTGTGTGTGTGTGTCACTTGTAGGAGTGGGTTCTCTCCTTCCACCACGTAGTTTCCAGGTATTGAACACAGGCTGTTGGGCTTGGGGGCAGGTACCTTTATCCAGTGAACTAGTTTACCAGTCCAAGACTCCTGATTTCAAAATCCAAGCCTAGCATGCCAACTGCAAAAGCACATATGCTGCTGAACTTAGTTCACGAGAATGAAAAGGATCTTTTCCAGAATGGTGCTGTGCCTTGCGTCTCCTCCACATGTGATGTGAGTCTGTTGTAGTCGATGTGTTCTGCATTTGATGGGGACTGCCCCCGCCATGTCTGCCATTCATCTACTTGACCAGTGAAAATTGAAATCTTTACCAGGGAGAGTCCTAAGTGGCCATGAAATACTGATTTCTGATCTTAAAAGATATCAGGTTTGGGAAGATGGCTCAGTGAGTAAAAACAGTTGCCATGCAAGTGTGAGGGCCCAGGTTCAATTCTTAGAACCCTTGCAAAAGTGGGTATGGCAGCTCATGTCTGTGATCCCAGTGCTCCTAAGGGGGACTAGGAGGCAGGGATGAGAGACCCCCTACAAGATCTTGAGCCCGCCAGCCTGATTTCCCAGTAGAGAACAACAAAGAGACCCTGTCTCCAAAAATGGTGGACAGAGGACCTGAGTTTGGTGTGGGAGAATTGTCTGTATTCTGTCAATCATGTTTTAAATAAACGCTGATTGCCCAGGCAGGAAGTATAGGTGGGAAAACCAGACAGGAAGTAGAAATGATGCAAGGAGAATAGGTGAATTCTGGGAAGGAGGAAGTTGATTCCTCCCAGTCCTGTGCAGACCACTGAGGAAGCAGGATGTGATCTGCCAGCTGAAAAAGGTACTGAGCCATATGGCAAAAATAGATCAGAAAAATGGGTTAATATAAGCTACAAGAGCTAATAAGAAGACTGAGCTAATGGGCCAATCAGTCTTATAACTTATAGAGATCTTTGTGTGATTTTCTTTGGGGCTTGCCAGCTGTGGGGTACTGGGTGGGACAGAAACTCCAACAAGCCAGCCCCATTCATGTTACATGAGTTGTATTCTGACCTCTTCACATGTGCCCTCTGGCCTCTCACTGTGGTCCAACCATGCCCATGTTCAAAAGAATGTATACACACACACACACACACACACACACACACACACACACACACACAGAGAGAGAGAGAGAGAGAGAGAGAGAGAGAGAGAGAATCACCTTAAATTTAATTTATGAAATTTTAAAAGCTGAGATAAAGCAATCATTTTTTGAATATCTGGTTTGAATATAACATCTCTTTTATTTATTTAGTTTTTACTAGGATAGAACCTAGGGTCTCAGGGCATGGTAGACAAGTACTCTAACTACATCCTCAAGTACTGAGCTCAACTCTTCTTATGAACCTAGGACTGTAAGAGACACAAAGAAACCCAGCCCAGGAGTAAGGAGAAGATGCTTTTCCTTCAGTACCCGATGCAGACTCACAGTTCTGTTTCCCTGCAGGGCTGGCTGGTTTGCCTGGGTCCTGCTAGGGAATCTGTGTTCACACACAGCAACTTCATCCTCCCCCACGGATGCTGGCTCTCGCTGGCTCTGGCTGGCTCTCCTGCCTGCTTCATTCTAGTCCCAAGAGGAAGGGGGCCCAAGAAGAAGGGGAGCAGTGGCTCTGGCGGCCTCCCGTACCATAGTCATCTGCTCTGCTCCATCATTCCTTCCTCCCTTCCCTTCCTCATATCAAATCTATTTCTTTCTTTTCCCTCCAGAAAGGGTGGAGAGCTTGCCAGATGATTTGCTAATTCCTTGTCTTTGGAAGTCTGGTTTCAATTTCTTGTCCAACATGGCATGGGCATAGTTGAAAAGGAAACTGGAGTTAAGTCACTAGTTTTGTGATCTCACTAGGCTGGGAGACTCCAAATCTGATGATTCTCCAGTAGCTTGTTCTCATTCAAAAGGCATCAGGAAGAACACTGTGAAAGTAAAACTAGCTCTTACTACCACTAATTCCCCTTTTCCAATAAGTCACTCCTTGGCAATAAATGGGTGCTAATCCTACCAGCCAGTGTGGAGACAGTTTATGTGCAACACACACACACACTTCAGTCTGAGGCTTCAAGACATCTTTCATTAATTGATCATATTTCCTAACATTTTTGCAAAAAATTTGCCATGCTGGCTTTATTTACTCCCTGTACAGATGTCTTCTATCTGTGATTTTACTACGTCTTCAGACTACAGTGTCATTCCAAAACTCTGAGGGCAACAAAAAAAGAAATAATTCTAGTGAAAGGAGAGGTTATCCATAGTCTCATCATGACTTGATACTTTGTACCCAGCAGCCATTAGACGCTCTGTGTGCCTTTGAAACGACTTTGAGTGTCTTTTCAGCCAGATTTCCCGATAGTTTAGACTTTATAGATTTATGTTTGATCGTTTCTAATGATATGGAGGGGAGCATGTGCACGTGAGTGCAGGTGCCCGCAGAAGCCAGAAGAGGGCCTTGAATCCCCTCCAGCTGGGGTTACAGGCAGATGTGAGCAGCCTGGTGTGGTTGGTGGGAGCCAAATTTCGTTCTTCTGTAAAAGCAGTATGTGCTCTTGATTGCTGAACGTCCCTCCGGCCCCAAGAAGTGTTAATAATGGCAAGTGGGCTAGCAGGGCATCTGTCCTAGACAAGAATGGAAATTACCAAGTTTACTGATTCTTGACAACAGATGCCTTGGTAGGGTTTCAAGTGGTTCCAGCTCAGTTCTGCTCTTTTTCAGTGGCCGTCTCCACATCGGTCCTGGTCCTCCTGGTTGGTGCAGGACTTGTGGTTTTTCTCGCCAGGTACATCAGATCAAGGTGAGTGGTACAGGACTGCAGGACCAAATTCTTCCTTTCCACCAGAAAAGCTTGACCATAAAGATTCCAAGAGGCCCTCTCAAAAGATGAGTCCCTTTCCTGACTATAAACCCTCAGCCCCTTCTGCAGCAGCTAGAAGGAGCTGTGTAAGTCCAGGCTGGCCCCACAGAAGGCTACCTGGTGAGAAAAATAGAAAGTTATTTTAAAGGATTTTCGAAATGTTTCTATGACTGAGTAATTTTAACCTAACATCTTGAATTTAGAGTTATATTCTTAAGAGATAATAATTACTTAATGTGTGCAGAAATGTGCATACTATGTTTTTAATGAATAAACACTATATTCTTTTTTAATTTATTTAATTATTAAAGATTTCTGTCTCTTCCCCACCACCGCCTCCCATTTCCCTCCCCCTCCCCCAATTAAGTCCCCCCCCCTCAGACCGAAAAGCAATCAGGGTTCCCTGTCCTGTGGGAAGTCCAAGGAACCCCCACCTCCATCCAGGTCTAGTAAGTTGAGCATCCAAACTGCCTAGGCTCCCACAAAGCCAGTGCATGCAGTAGGATCAAAAATCCATTGCCATTGTTCTTGAGTTCTCAGTAGTCCTCATTGTCCGCTATGTTCAGAGAGTCCGGTTTTATCCCAGGCTTTTCCAGATCCAGGCCAGCTGGTCTTGGTGAGTTCCCAGTAGAACATCCCCATTGTCTCAGTGTGTGGGTGCACCCCTCACGGTCCTGAGTTCCTTGCTCGTGCTCTCTCTCCTTCTGCTCCTGATTTGGACCTTGAGATTTCAGTCCTGTGCTCCAATGTGGGTCTCTGTCTCTGTCTCCTTTCATCGCTTGCTGAAGGTTAATATTCAGGAGGATGCCTATATGTTTTTCTTTGGGTTCTCCTTATTTAGCTTCTCTAGGATCACTAATTATAGGCTCAATGTCCTTGGTTTATGGCTAGAAACCAAATATGAGTGAGGACATCCCATGTTCCTCTTTTTGGGTCTGGCTTACCTCACTCAGGATAGTGTTTTCTATTTCCATCCATTTGTATGCAAAATTCAAGAAGTCCTTGTTTCTTACTGCTGAGTAGTACTCTAATATGTATATATTCCATACTTTCTTCATCCATTCTTCCATTGAAGGGCATCTAGGTTGTTTCCAGGTTCTGGCTATGACAAACAATGGACACTGTCGCTAAGACACAAAGGCAACCCACTAACTGGGAGAAGATCTTCACCAACCCTGCAACTGACAAAGGTCTGATCTCCAAAATATATAAAGATCTCAAGAAACTAGACCGTAAAAGGCTAACCAACCCAATTATAAAATGGGGCATTGAGCTGAACAGAGAATTCTCAACAGAAGAACTTCAAATGGCCAAAAGACACTTAAGGTCATGCTCAACTTCCTTAGCAATCAGGGAAATGCAAATCAAGACAACTTTAAGATACCATCTTACACCTGTCAGAATGGCTAAAATAAAAAACACCAATGATAGCCTTTGTTGGAGAGGTTGTGGAGAAAGGGGTACACTCATCCATTGCTGGTGGGAATGCAAACTTGTGCAACCACTTTGGAAAGCAGTATGGCGGTTTCTCAGGAAATTCGGGATCAACTTACCCCTGGACCCAGCAATACCACTCTTGGGAATATACCCAAGAGAGGCCTTATCATACAACAAAAGTATAGGCTCTACGATGTTCATAGCAGCATTGTTTGTGATAAACATTATATTCTTAAATAAATTGGTAAATTTGGTATATATAGTCAATAAATAGTATAAGAAAATATCAGCATTAGTAACAATATTTTAAAATGCATCTAGGTGCATTTTAAAAGCAGTAATTATATTGACTTTGTCAATTGGTGAACCAATTTTTTCCATTAACTGATTTTTTTTTTTTTTTACAAACTGGTTGATGGGTAGATTTGCCATTCAACAAACTGGCTTTTAGTAAGCTGACCTAGATTTCTTGATTTCTAGTTTCTGTCTCACACAAAACCGCCTATTTAGTTATGGCTTGAAAAGCTGTTTATCTTTAGAAGACATTATAAGAACCATGGAAGACAATACTGACCAAGGTACTTAAGGCCTAAAACTCAAGAGATCGCTAAGACAAGTAGACACACAGACTACAGAGCCTCTCTCTGCTCTTGCTAGCCACGAGCTCAACTGTATTTGTTTGTTTTTGTTTGTTTGTTTGCTTGCTTTGTTTGTTTTTTGTGACAGGATTTATCTGGGTAACAGCTCTAACTGTCCTAGAACTCACTCAGTAGACCAGGCTGGCCTTGAACTCACAGAGATCCATCTGCCTCTGCCTCCCGGGTGCTGGGATTAAAGGCGTGCGCCACCACTGCCTGGCTCTTTATTTCTTTTCTTTTTTTCCTCAACTGTATTTGTTTAATGGTGAATATTAAGACTGCTTTTAAGGCCTCGTGAATATCCAGCTACTTTCAGCAATGTCATCCATCAGGTCTGGTCTAGCCAAGGTCCGGGTCTCCTGTCCCCCTTCCTTGCTATCTGTGCTGGGTTTTAGCAGAGGATTGGCAGCGTTAGGTATGAGGATGGCGTGGCATGATTTGTTCCAGCAACACTGGAAAGCCTCTGGTGGATGGAGGGTGAGGTTGAAAATTCCCAAATAGGATTAAGTTCTTGCTATCTGCACATCTGGGCATTCTAAGTTTTCCTAATCTCTAAGCAACAGAAATCTCTGAGAGCCGGGCTGGTGTCTGCTAATGTAACCCACTCAGTATAGAGCATGCATGTTCGTTAAGAAGTATGTTAACCCAAGAGCCATCCTGACCTCTTTTCAAAACCTGTGAATAAACTATTTTACAGGCAAGCTTCTCAGCCACGTGATGTTGCAATGGAAACCATGGAATCAGTGCCAATGACTGGGGACGAGCAGCAATGAGGATGACACAGGAGCCTAACCTCACAACTGCCGAAACTCAAGGAAACCTGCCCAGCTGAGTCTAATGAGAAGATGTAAAGGCAGCTCCATGTTAGCTAAGGAATACCAGGACACAGGGAGCTGGGCACCAGGAGGAAGTGCACCATGGTAATACAAGGTCTCCGGAACGAGCCGCTTTACTGTGTCTAGATGTCTCCCACGTGCACACCTGGGTTCTCTGGCATCTGGAAGGACACCACCCTTCTACCTGGCTCAGCAGAGAGACCGGCTTCCCACAGTGCCAGCAGCTTGAGCTCTCCTGGGAGACTCTCATGGTCTCCATAAAAGCCTCTGATTTCACTCCGACATCGACTCAAAATAGCTTATTAGCTAGGCCAGTGGTTCTCAATCTATGGGTTGTAACCCCTTCGGGGGGGGGAGGGGCATCAAACAACCCTTTCACAGGGGTCACATATCAGACATCCTGCGTATCAGATATTTATATTATGATTCATAACAGTAGCAACATTACAGTTATGAAGTTGTAACAAACAATTTTATGGTTGGGGGTCACCATAACATGAGGAATTACATTAGAGGGACACAGCTTTTGGAAGGTTGAGAGCCACTGTGCTAGACTCTCTTTTCTGTCCCCTACCCTGATTTACAGTTTACAGGGCTTAGCCATACACCAGAGGCTCCCACTCCACTCCAAGGCTCCCCTGGCACAGAGGAGTCTTGTCAAGAAGACAGCAGCACTTGAACTCCTGAAGACTTGGCTATTGCTGCTTTGCACCTATTGAAAAAGAGGAGAGGAAGGCGGAAGAGATATTGAGCCAATGAATCCTTTGCATAGGATTTATGACAAAAACTGAACTCAGTAACTTTTTACATATATATGTGTGTGTTTATATTTATGCTTCCTTTTCTATTATATCTACATGTAATGTATGATTTATATTTGAAGGTGCCTTGTATAGACAAAATAAAATATCTATTTTCAGTACAAAAACACATTAAAACTATCAACAAAGAGAAATGTTCCACAAAAGAAAAGAGGAGAAAGAGGAGTAATAAGATATTAAATGTGATTAAACTCAGGTTTTCTTTCAAAAGAAGAGAGGAGAGAGAGAGAGAGAGAGAGAGAGAGAGAGAGAGAGAGAGAGAGAAATGGGAAAAGCCCTTGCTTAGAGCTGACACAGATCAATAGCGTTGCAGGATTTCTAAGCAAATCTCACGGTGAGTAGAATCAATATAAACAACTCTGAGCTCAACTAGCACAGGATACTGCATATTCCTGCTCTCCCCAATCTTCTTCTATTTATTATTTTTTATTAATTAGTATTATTATTATGAATCTATTGCAGAGCAATGGATAAAAAGAGGGCCTCATCCTTGTTAAGCAAGTACTCTACCACTGAGTCATAGCCCCAATTTCCTAACTCCTAAATTTGCGGATTAAAAAAAATATTGTAGCCTGGAGAAATTGACCTGCCCAAAGTCACTTAGTTCAGCTACTGCCACCACTTGGACAGAACTGGGGTGGTAAATGGATGGGAGAGGAGGTCTGGTTGTGAGGCAGCTGCTAACTGGTCCCCCTCCATCCCTCGGTAAAGGAGAACCACCAGAAACATTCAGGACGTGGGTTAGGCACCTCACTGACTTCTGCCATTCATCAATTTATATGATTTTCTTCAACAGAACTAAAGGAAGCTTTGCCCCATTGCTCACTTGGGCTTCCTCGTAGCACGGTGGTCTCTGTCCCGTCGGGCTGTTTACATGGTGACCAAAACGAAACTGTCAGGCCCTTCAAGGAGGTAGTCCAGAAACAGACCTGTTTAACTTTTGCTAACTATCTATGACCTTTGCTATGTATTGGTCAAAGCAAATCACAAACCAGCCCAGATTCAAGGGCAAGGAAGTGACAAACAGGAAAGAAAGCATCCACAGAATCTATCTTTGGTAGCCAGGTGCCATACTTTTAAAGGCAGTCAGGGAAGTATAATTTTCCTTGAGTTCTCAGCTCTCAGTTAATGCCAATAAATACAAGAGGAACGGATGAGACTATAATGATCTGGTATTGAGCTAAGCATTGAGACGTCCATTTTTTTGTTTGCTTGGTTTTGGTTTTTTGTTTGTTTGTTTGTTTTTTGAGACAGGGTTTCTCTGTGTAGCTTTGGCTGTCCTGGAGCTCCCTCTGTAGACCAGGCTGGTGTGAATGCTCAAAGATCCACCTGCCTCTGCCTCCCAAGTGCTGGGATTAAAGGCGTGCACCACCACTGTCCAGCTGAGATGTTCATTTTTAATATTTAGTTTGGAATGGAAAGGTAGACAGAATTCTGAAGGACTTGAAAATTTTATAGCTATTATACAACCTTCACCCCAGGTGACCTTCGCTGGCTACAGATCTAATTTACAGTTCCCTCTTCCCACATTACTTGCTCTCCACTGTATTAGCCATAAAAAAAACAAAAAACAAAAAAAAAACATTGATGTTTGACAGGACACGGGATACCTTTCCAGCCACACCTCTCGCTGAGCGTGGACCCACAAACACCTAGCTCTTCCCTTCTTCACATGGCCCTATGCCCGCAGGAAGTAGCCAGACTTGAGTCAATGCCCCTTTTTCCTAAGAGAGCCTAAATGTTAGTCAAAATATCACCTCAGCTTCCTCTTACCCCTTATACAAACAGTCTGGAATGTAAGCTCCGGTCTTTGGTCTCCATCTTTGGAGGCCCCATCCCTGTGCCCGCTAAGTCTTGACCCTCCTCTTTGGAGGAGAAAGTTTCCTCTTGCTCTTTTTTCCTTCCCCCTGGTGGTCGTGTTAGCCACCTCCCGGTTCCCCCTCTGGGCCACCTGAGAGCACAGGAATCCCATCAAACCTGGATATTTTTTAATTTGGCTTGTTGTGATTTGGCTTAATTGGAATTTTGCGTCGGCAGAGAGCTTGCGTTAGGAAAAAATCCTAACAATGTCCGTCACTTCTATATTACCTTGATCTAAGAATTAAAGTCTTTTATGTCTTTTCTAGCTCCCTTTTAGATGCTACAGAGTAATGAGAGCAAGAAACAAAAGACACACCATTTTAGATTTATTTTTATATGAATGAGTATTTTGTCTGTATTTCATACACCATATGTGTTCCTGGTAACAGAAATCAGAAGAGGGCATCAGATCCCTGAACTGGAATTACTGAGAGTTGTAAGCTGCCTTGTGTGTCCTGGGCATTGAATTCATCTCCTCTGCAAGAGCAGAGCTTTACTGCTGAGCCACCTCATCCACCCCACAAAAAATACATAAGGACCCCAGTGTTCTAATTGCCTATTCCACTTTTCCATTATGGATCTTTTATTATCACCTAAGATTGCCCTATTCTGGCCTGCAAATGTCAAAGAAAGTAGCTTAGATATTTGAGTCTATATGTTTGCTGTTCCTCGGGTCTGTGCACCTTCAAGGCAGGAAAGGTTCAGTCCAAACCAACCTCTCACACTTCCTGGCCTGTGCAGAATTCATTGTGTGCATACCGTTCTAATATTTTAACTCATACAGTGCTGTCTTTTGGAAGAATCTATTATGGGTCTGGGGTCATTCAGAGGTTCGCCAGTCTAACTATGAATATATTTTAATAATGATGAGGCTTATATTCAGATACTGGTACCAGGGCTACCCCTGGGACTTGGGATAGCACAGTGTCCCACTAGTCAGGGATTTAAAAAGGAAAAAAAACAGCCAGGATGTGGTGGTATGTGCCTTAAATCCCAGCACTCAGGAGGCAGACACAGGTAACTCTCTGAGTTCAAGGCCAACCTCGTCTATAGAGTGAGTTTCAGGACAGTCAGGGCTATGTAGAGAAACCCTGTCTCAAAAAATATTAATTGGTTAATTATTGTGATGAATGGCAGGCTGCATTCCGCCACCCGGCTAGCTTTATACCCGAAATAATTACACGGAAACTGTATTCTTTTAAACACTGCCTGGCCCATTAGTTCCAGCCTCTTATTGTCTAGCTCTTACATATTGATCTAACCCATTTCTAATAATCTGTGTAGCATACGAGGTGGCTTACCAGGGAAGATCTTAACCTGTGTCTGTGTTGGGTGGGAGAATCATGGTGACTGACTGACTCGGCTTCTTTCTCCCAGCATTCTGTCTGTCTACTCCACCTACCTAATTTTCTGTCCTATCAGGGCCAGGGCAGTCTCTTTATTTAACCAATGAAATTAACACAAAACAGAAGACTCTCACTAATTTAATTAAAATATAAATAATAAAGGGAAAAACCCATAAGGTTATGTTCTATTTACATACAGGTGCACATCTTGCAATCAAGGGCTCAGTTTAGCAAACAGACATCTTGTAGGTGTCTTGTTTATCTCAAGCAAGCAAGCTCTGTTTACAGAAGCAGAGGCAGTAGTCCTGTAACCATTGTCTTGTACAAACAAGGACAGGCAATTACAAAAATGGCTCCCAGCATTCCAGGAAGTTATCTGTGCTTGGACAAGTGGGAATTACAGGTTAGAGGCAATTTTGTTTTATAGGCCTCTTAAGCACACTTACTAAATTTAAAACATAGTGTTAGCTGTCACAGAATCCACTTTATTCTTTCCTGAAGTGCCTGACTATAAATCCTCACCTTCTACTTGTGTTTACAGTCAAGACATAATACCCCCTCCTCACCAATTCTGGGTGAATTTGAGCGCCCCAGTAAAGAAAACAAAATTACTGCTCAGAGGATGAGAAAGGAAAAAGTTTATTCCAAATTGTCAAGGTTGTCTCTCAGAAAAGCATAGGGAAGCAAGAGGGGGAGGAATCTTGGGAGTTATAAGGAAAATGGATTTCTGTGTGAAAGGGAACCTATGAGCTGGAGGGGGAGCCTGGAGGCTAGCCTGGGCCAACTTGATATTGAGACAAGTACCATAGACATATATTAATAGGAGAGCCATAGGTATCAGAGATAAGGGAAATTACTTTTTTTCACATTGGTACCAATTTCACAGGATCCCGAAGAATGCTGGCTTTTACCTAACAGTCAGAAATCCTCCTCACATAGTCAAGGTTGAGATCACTTCTTGATATTTGAACTGCCTTTTTAAGTTTGAAGAATTGGAATTTCCTTTTTACCTGACACTGGGGAGCCTCCACATTGTTGAATACCTCATTGTCCACTAGCATAAGGCCAGCTGCTCCCTGGTCTAGGGCATCTGGACTAGGCCCTATCAGAGCATCTCACCTAGTATCCTAGGTTATTGAATACGGAATGAATGAAAGATAGCAGAATATGTCCATCAAGGCCCTGCCACCAATGAATTGGCTGGGGCTGTTTCCCTCTATCAGATATATGTGATTTCAATGACAATGACCCTTATAGGGCTATATATTTGAAGATAGTACCAAGAGTGGGATATTGCTGTGATACACCTAGCGATGTTTTTGTTGTTGTTGTTTGGTTTGTTTGGTTTGTTCATTGAGGAATGTGGGAGACTCTGGGACTTTGAACTAGGAGAGAACACTGTAAGTGGGGCTTCATGGGCCATTATAGAAGGATTTGAGACGACAGTAGTGCTGAAAACAACACCCACTTAGAGGTCCAGCTCAGGGTTACAGAGGGGCACAATATTAGCAACTGGGCTAGAACCCATTCTTGTGACGTTTTGGCAAAGAATGTGGTTGCTTTTTGCCCTTGTCCTATCAATATACCTAAGATTGAATTGAAGAGTTTTGGACTAATTTCATTGTCAGAGGAGATTTCTTTTAATATTGACTCTGTCACTGGGTTATTAGTAATCTCTCTTACGTAGCTCTACAATGAAAAGGAGCAAGCAGGAGAATAAAAGCACAAAATACAGCTTGAGGAGAAAAAGGAGTACCAGGAAATTCAGTGCTGGAGCCATGGCCTGTGTTGGAAGATGTAAGAAAAAGTGAGAAAAAGGGTGTGGTGTCTTTAGGGTGAGTGCCCATTCAGCTAATCCTGCAATTTGGGGAAAGAATAGGCCTAAGGGATTA